CCTAAGTTTGGTTGTTAAGGATTCTTCCTTTAATACACAGTGATGCGGGAGAAAATATTTATTTTCTAAGTTTCCATTAGTAAGAGAGAGAGGGACTATTCTAGCATGTTCGAGAAGAAGATATTCACTAATGAAAGACTTATATTGAGCGTATGTATTTTCATTTTTTAAGAGCCTATTTTCTAAATTAATAAATCTCTTTAGAGCTATTTTAAAAGATTCGCCTAATCTTTTATGCGCATTTTCGGAGACAAGTGGAAGATTTACTTGAAAACGACCCGAAGGTAAAATACGAGTGGTTTTATTAAATATTTGTTCAGCCAATTTCTCATCGGGGGTTAATTTACTAACGTGCGGAACTTCTTCAATCTCGAAGAATTGTTGAATTAATTTATCTAAATTATTCTCTTCGGATTCGGACTGAACAAGGAGAGAAACATTTGACTGAGAAATAGCCAAATTTGAACTACGATGAAAGACATGAGGGGGAAGAGTACCAAAAATAACATAACCCAAGTGGGTATTCTGAAGAATGGGAAGATTCTTTCCTAAACGTATGAATCCATCAGTCAATAATTCGCTGTAGATGTCACCAGCTAGAAGCAAATCAATTTTACCGGGAACAGAGTACGAGGGATCTGCGAGAGTGAGATTAGGGGGAACATTTATTTTGCTTCTATTTAGGGTAGCTTTAGGAAGTCTGCAAGTTATACTATCAAGTACAGCAAAAGAGGTTTTGAAACTTCTATCCTTCACATTATAGGGAAAAAATTCTATGTTAATCATTTGATTTGACAATGAGGTGTTTTCGGATATGGTTGATATCTGTAACTGTTTAAAATAAGGGGTGAGGTTTAACTTCTCAACCAAATCACGAGAAATAAATGAATGTTGACTCCCATTATCTAGGAGCGCTCTGGCATGCATAGGCCTGCCATCTTTAGAATACACTGTCACTAAAGCGGTAGCCAACAATACATCAGTTTTAACTGATAAAGCAGAGAGAGAAGTGGCTGTGTGAGAATCTGCAGTGTTTTGTACTTCTAAAGGAGGTTTGAACGAACTGGTAGAAGCTTCATTTTGGGTATGAGCACTATAAGGCGGAGTAGGTATGTGAGCGACACGACTGGAAGAACCTTGAGAATGTTTGGGAGCTTGAGCGTTGCGATCAATCGGGAAAGATTGCCTATTCGTGTTCCTAGAGGAAGAGACATTTTCAGGGGTACTATGCAAGAGCGAGTGATGTCTTTTCTTACATATACTACATGAGCGTGCAGAGTTGCAATCTTGAGAAAAATGTTTATTACCCAAACAATTCCAACAAAGTTTCTTACCTTTTACAAAATTAAATCTTTCCTGTAAAGAGAGACATTTAAAATCATTACATTGATAAATTTTATGCGAATTACTTTTGCAACATATACAACTAGTATCTGAAAAAGAGTTTGTTTGTGAGTTAACTGATGAAAACAAAGATGTTTTTAACTGAGGCTTAGTAAATTTTCTATCATTATCAGAAACGTTTAATTTTTCTTGGATATCACACTTTTTTTCAAGAAAACAAAAAAACTGTGAGAGAGTAGGTAAAGCCTTTGAACCTATTTCATATTCAAATGACCGGTGAGTAGCGAAATCTAATTTTTGTAAAAATACTTCGATTAACAATAAATCCCAATGTTCGATTGGTACTGACATATTCTTGAGTGCGAGTAAAGTCTGTTTGCAAAGAGTTAAAAATTCTCGTAATGATTTTGAGTTACTTTTAGCTAAAGATGGAGCCTTTAACAATTTTTGAATATGTAAACTAATTACACGCGATTTATTTTCGTATCGATCCTTGAGCGTGTCCAAAGCGATCTGGAAATTTTCTTCTACAACTTCAATGTTTTCAATTAAGTGCAAAGGTTCATGTTTTAAGAAGGATTTAAGATATATAAATTTTTGCACATTGTTCAGCTCCACATTATTGATTATCAGCGTTTCAAATAGCTGATAAAACGCGTTCCATTCGGCGAAGTTTCCAGAGAAAACCTGCATTGTAATTTCCGGCAACCTAACTTTAGCAGTGGCTACAGTTGACGGAGTATCGTTTGAGCTGAGCGAGTGGGAGGGTAACTTTAATGCTTCCATCTTATGCTGCAGTCCAGCTAGTGTAGAAAAGTATTTTTTCTCCATGAGTGCTCTGTCTTCTGTTTCAGAATCGGTTTCATCGATTTCTTCAATCTGATCCATCACCTCTTCATACTTCAGATAACATGATTTCAATTCGGTGTGTCTGAGTTGAAACTGGAGACCGTCAGTTTCTGCATCTGCGTTTTCTAGCAGCCAGTTTACTATTCTAGTAATCTTGGCCTTCAGCGGCTTCCTCTTCTTCTTGAGATCTTCCATTTCGACTTTCAACAAAAAGTGCTACTCCAAAAATAACTGCCTAAGGTCGTGCAAACACCGAGTTCTTTAGAGAAATTATTGTTTCTATTATATAATAATACGTGTATCACACAGCGAGAATAGAGTGAGTAATGTTTATCGTATATAATAACATGTATAGCACACAACGAGAATAGAGTAAATTATATTATGTATATATAATCATATATATTATAACATGTAGCACACGGCGAGAAAGTTTATAGTTTATTAAAACGCGGTAAAAGTCTTAAATCACACATGAGAGTTTATTTTTGCAATTAAATTTTTTGCACACCCGGTAAATGTCTACAAATGTCTACAGATAAATTTTTAAAGAGATAGTCTTTTTGAAAAGCGATTTACCCTGTGCATAAGCGAAGTTATAATATGGAAAAATCTCACCCAATTTGTCCAGTGGTTTGCAGGAACAGGCACAAACACTATATAAACTTCACTACTGTCCTTTTGTTTCAGAGTTTATCGCGACACCTTAGTCTTTTCGAGAGTCTTTTAAATACATTCATCTAAATATCCGAAACTAGTTAGTACAAATGCCAACATCAAACACAAATCCGTCGAGTAAGGACCACAAACAATGATGGAGTTTTCTCCGATTTCCACCAATTGTTGTGGGGAAAGCTTATTAAATTCCTTTCCCCGTGCGTGTACAGTTCCAAATATTTTAGGACCATGGACTGTACAAGAGTGTTTCCTTCGATATATACAAGCAGAACTTCACGGCGCTGGTTCTTTATGTGTTTGATTTAATAGGGTTGTACTTAGAGAAAAATAAGCGTAATTAATTGAATCTACACATTTAATAACAAGAGAATATTTACACAAGCACTAATACTAACGAAAGAGTTCGCTTTAAAACATTGTCCATTATTATATCGGCGTTTTACGGGCGCGCGAAACTATCGAGAAAAACAAATACACATTTCACTGCATTTTGGCGGCGAAGAGAGAGCTTAGGTACCGGCTACTAGTACCGAACAGCTTGAGACACTAGTCACATCTGCGAGAGATTTTGAATTGAATCTTTACCTAAATTGCCGACAAGGCGGCGTCGTTTTACCACTTTAAACAACCCTTATAAGCTATTTATGGCACAAATATTCTGCAGACAAAAGTACAGTCTGTAACATAAATTCCAAACCAATATTTGTAAGAACTAAAAATTATACTAAAATTAATATAAAATGTTGTTTTTACAACAGTAGTGACGACTTTAAAACTGCGGTAGAAATTATAAAGCATATTTAAGGTAGGTACTGCATCTTCAGATATTAAATTTATTGTTGTTAATGTTGAGAAACAAGTACCTTGGTTAGGTTTTGATGCTTGTGTTAGAAGTGGGAATTGTAGATGTATACTTGAAACCTTTGGTCAATGTTGTAGAAGCATTTTCAACACTTCCTCCTTATCTAACATTTTGTAAATAGAAACGCCTTATAGCGTTTTGTGACGTACCATAAATGTCTTAGTTTTACATTGTTTAGCGACTTCTAGTAAAATCAAACAATTATTATTTATGTAAAAAATCCTTATTTTTTGTTAACCCTTTTTTTAATTACGAATTCTATTATTGTTACTATAACGGCTTTGATAACTATGGAATTCAAACACGTAGAAAGAAATAGTAGTACCAATTTTTTATTAGTGCTTATGATTCCACTACAGGTACATAAATGCAACCTCCTTTTTTTAGAAAGACAGGTGGTTTAAGCATATGTATTTATTTTACAAAATAACTAATTTACTTAATATAACTTAGTTATTAACTTTTACAAAAGTTTATGAATCGAGTAAAGTACATATTTTATTCATCTCTAAATTGTACAATAAATTTCTTTTGAATTTGTTAAATCAAACTGACCTGTTAGTTCTAAATTTGTCTTCATGGAACGACAATAATAGTATTTAAAAAATATATTGGAGATTTTAATGCTCAATCACAACAGAAACCTTAAAAGTAGTATGCACATCGCAGCTTACGAGTACATGTGCTTTTTCTAGTTTTTCGTAAATTTTAATGCTGTATCTGTTGTATTCTGCCTGCACTAATCGTAGAACGGATAGATTCACTATACAAAACTAAAGCGAATAGATAGCCAAAAATTCATTTGTAAATTTTTTATTTTTTTAATTTTGATTAAAACTGCAAATGAATTGAACCAGCACATGTTGATTATTATAATATAGTTATGGTAAATCTAAGAATGGTGGTGACGAAAATTATAATTTAGAGAGAAAGACAAGAAAAGTGGGGATACAAGAATATTCTTTTACCGTCAAGATATAAAATAAACAAAATATTTATTTATTAATAAATAGGAATTGTTCGTCGTCATAACATGTGCCCAGAGAAGGAGAGAAAAATAACAAACCAAAGTATTAATAATAATAACTTAGGTGGTCAACATACCAAGAGAGGAGATATGCATGGTTACGTTTAAAAAAGTTGAGTACTTCTCTTAACATAACCAAAAATAGATTAAAGATTGAATTGACTGATTAAGTAATTAAACATTCTAATTTATAAATATACATTTAAGCAAAACGAGAGTTTTTAATCATCTTGAACTTACCTGGATTAAATCTTCTACAACTAGTAATAGGATCTCCAGTATATCCAGCAGGACATGTACAAACAGGTACTCCTCTTCTTGCTTCACAGTTGGAATTAACACCACAGGTACCAGCACATGGATCTATACATTTTCCACCTCTGCAGGCTAATTGACCTCTGCATTCACTGTCATCGATGCACTCTTCCCTAAATAAATTTATTTGTTTGTTAGTTTTAACCGCTTTTAATTTTCCTATTTAAAAATATAGTATACCAGCTAAAACGTTTTTACCTTTGTTTCGCAGGTACAAAAAAAAATAATGTAAAACAATGTCTTCAAACAAATAATGTCTTCATGTTTTTGAATCGAAAATTCCACTTCTGCATAAAATATCTACTACTTAAAACTCATAAAAAATAGTTTTCTGATAGATATAGTGGAACTTTAGCTATCGAAAAATTTGGCTGGAAAGAAATCAGTCAACTTTTCCAATTTTAATTTTTGGGTCATTTAAAATGTAATCGCAAGGTTATTACAGCTTCTAAAGTGGCTAGTTTCAATTGCCAACTATGTGTTCATTGATGATGGTCTGATAAGATTAAAAACCTTCTTATGAAATTTTAATCCGTTTGCATTAGAAATTTTTTACTTCACTGTAAGTGTTTATATTAGTCAACCGCAGATATTTTTCTCTTTTATTGGGTATTTTTATTTATTTCTCCAGTTAACAATTCATACAATAAATGTTTATAAACAAGAGATATTTCATCACTAGAAATATTATATAGTCACTCAAATTCATACACCAATCAACTCGGTGAAAGACTCTTAATATCTAATGTATGTCTTACTATTATATAGGTTCAAGATAATATAGGCAACTAATACATAACATATGTATATATATATATATATATATATATATATATATATATATATATATATATATATATATATAGTAACACTGTTTTTGATGGGTTGGAGTCAATAAAAGGGGCTATTTGTTGACTATTTTTTACTCGAGCTTTCAATTGTGATTACAATTTTTATCAAGAGCTTCTAAAAAATACAAAATATCTTACAAAGTTGAACTAGAAATAAATAATGTTGTTGTTAACTCACCAAATAAAATTAGTTATTTATATAAAACTGCTGCTAACATTATTACAAAAAATATTATTAAAAAAATGTTCTATTCTAATAAATGTTTCAGAAAAATTTATTAGAATAGACATTTTTTTAATAATATTTTTTGTAATAATGTTAGCAGCAGTTTTATATAAATAACTAATTTTATTTGGTGAGTTAACAACAACATTATTTATTTCTAGTTCAACTTTGTAAGATATTTTGTATTTTTTAGAAGCTCTTGATAAAAATTGTAATCACAATTGAAAGCTCGAGTAAAAAATAGTCAACAAATAGCCCCTTTTATTGACTCCAACCCATCAAAAACAGTGTTATATTTTTTCCAAACGAGTCACAAGTACTTCTTTTTTCTTTTTTCTTACTCTTATATATATATATATATATATATATATATATATATATATATATTATAATATATATATATATATATATATATATGAAAACGCAACTATGATATTACAACTAGACGAAAATACAAATCCCTCCCCATTAACAGAAAAGTTAGACAAAGCGACGTAATATTTTCAAAGTATTTTAATTTAGCCCAAGAAGACGTCTTTAAAAATACAAATTGGTCAACATATGGCATCGACGTTAATGACAACAACTTAAACCACCTCAGATTCGTTGACAACAACGTGATTCTAGCATCACCTCAGATTCGTTGACAACAACGTCATTCTAGCATCACCTCAGATTCGTTGACAACAACGTGATTCTAGCATCACATTCGACGAATTACAAGTTATGATGAAGGAACTCGCTGACAGGAACTCCTAATACGTCGACATTAAAATGAATATGACAAAAACAAAAATATTAACAAACACAGATGATCCAAGATGTATGTATGTATGTATCTATAAATGGCAGTGAGATCAACACAGAACAAATTCAGGAATATATCTATATATATATATATAATATATATATATATATATATATATATATATATATATAGTCCCAAGATTCCTAAGAGGAACATAGGGCTTCCACAAAGTGTCTCCAGCGAACTCTATTTCTGGCTAGTGCTTTGATTTCAAGCCAGGATTTTCCCATTTTTCTCCCTTCGTCCAGTACTGTCCTTCTCCAAGTTCCCTTAGGTCTGCCTACTTTCCGTCGGCCTTGGGGATTCCAATCCAGCGCTGTCCTGGCAATGTCATTTGGCGGTCTACGGAGTGTGTGGCCCAGCCATCTCCATTTTCTTCGCCTTATTTGCTTTATGACATTTTCTTGGTTGCTTTGGTTCCATAAATTTTCATTGGAGATTCGGTTAGGCCAAAATATACGAAGGATTTTTCGTAACGCTCTATTGATGAAAACTTGTAATTGGTGTACTATGGGTGCTGATATCTTCCACGTTTCGCAGCCATACAGTAATACAGCTTTTACATTTGTGTTGAAGATTTTTAATTTCGTTTTAGTTGGGTAAATCCTGGATTTCCATATGTTGTTAAGCATGTTGTAGGCGTTGCGAGCCTTATTTATTCTTTCATGTACATCACGCTCTGTACCCCCATTACAGTCAATTATGCTGCCCAGATATACAAATTCCGCTACTCTCTCAATTTTCTGGTCGTTGATCATAATAGGTTGGTTGTTTCTGGTACCAAATCGCATTTCTTTGGTTTTGTTGATGTTTATTTCTAGACCAACCTTCTTTGATTCTTCTTGTACTTTGTTTACTTGGAGTTGCATGTCCTGTTTTGTATGTGCTAGGAGGCATATATCATCAGCGTAATCTAGGTCTTCCAGTCTGTTTGTTAATCCCCAGTAAATTCCTCTATTAGAGTTTACCTTTGTTAGTACGGAGTCCAGTACAATGTTAAATAGTATGGGGGATAAAACACAGCCCTGCTTTACTCCGTTTAGCATAGCTATTGGGTCAGATGTTATGCCGTTGTGTAGGATTTTGCTTTCTGTGTCACTGTAGAGTTCTTTGATGAGATTTACTATTTTTTCTGGTATTCCTATTTCCTGCAGTGCTTTCCATATGGCCGTATGTGTGAGCGTGTCAAAAGCTCTCTTGATGTCCTCAAAGCACACAAAGAGAGGAGAGTTGAATTCCTGTGACTGTTCTACAATTATTCTTAGTGTGTTAATTTGGTCCACGCATGATCTGTTTGGTCTGAAACCGGCTTGTTCCTTCCTCAACATTGGTTCTACACTGTTTGTTAGTCGGTTGATTATAATTATTGCTGTTAATTTATTTATAGTATTCAGAAGTGTGATTCCTCTCCAGTTTTCGCAATATCTTCTGTCACCCTTTTTTGGTATCTTTATTATTAATCCCGTGTTCCATTCTTTGGGGAACTTTTCCTCTCTCCAAGCCCTTTTCAAGAGTGGTTGGATTAGCTCTGCCACTGTACCTGGGCAAGCTTTTAACAACTCTGGTGGAATATTGTCAGGGCCGGCTGCTTTGTGTGCTTTCAGTTTTTCTATGGCCATTTCTATTTCTTGCGTTGTTGGTTCGTTGGTGTTAATTCTCAGTTGGATATTGGGTATTAGGTTTTCTGCTTCTTCTGGTGGTGTTGGGACTGCACTTAGAGATTCGCTAAAATATTCATGCCTTCTTTTGACTTGTTCCTGTGGCGCTGTAATATCTTCACCTGTAGCACTTTTTACAATTGGTTGGTGGGTAGTATATCTTTTATTGGCTAGTTGTTTAGTGATATTATATAATTGTCTCATGTTTTGATGTTCATCGGCGACTCGCGCTTCTTCGGCAAGATTTTCTGCCCACTTTCTTTTGTCTTTTTTTGCTGCCTTCTTGACAGCTTTATTCGCTTCTCTATAACTTTCTCTAGTCGGTTCTTCTCTGCTGCTGTCTTGGAATTTAGTAATTCTAGATTAATGTGTTTGCGACGTTTATTTTGTTCCACGTTTCTCTCGTAATCCACTCTTTCATTTACGTCTTTCTTTAGGCCCAGCACGTTTTCACTTGTCTCCACAAGGGCTTTGCTAATCGTTTCCCAATTTTTGTCTTGTCTTTCGTCGATTTTGGATCTCAGCTGTCGTGCGAATTCTACTTTCGTCTCGTTATTTTGTAGTTTCTCAATGTTGAACTTTTTTCGAATAGGTTTGTTCAGTTCTTTTCTATTCCTAGCTATTTTGAATCTAATTTTGACCATCATCAGGTAGTGATCACTGGCCGCATCTGCGCCTCTCCATAATCTGACATCTAAGAGAGATGTTCTCCATTGCTTACTGATTGCAACGTGGTCGATATGATTGTAGGTGCGGTTATCTGGCGATTTTCATGATACCTTGTGGATTGTTTTGTGTGGGAACAAAGTCCCTCCAATGATTAGGTCATGGTTACCACTAGGAATATATCTACCTAGGCCAAATTCTGAAATTTGACAAAGAGAGCAAAAGTGCGGAAATCACTAGAAGGGCAAGACTGGCATGGGCAGAATTTTAAAAACGCAGATGGATACTGAAGAAGAGCAAAATACTTCAATACTTAAGGAGCAAAGTGTTTAACCAGTGCATTGTTCCTATCATGACATATAGATGTCAAACATAGACACCAACAAATGCAAATATGAATAAACTAGTCACAACAAAAAGAGCAATGGAAAGAGCAATGTTAGGTAGGCAACTGTCAGATAAAAAGAGAAACGACTGGGTAAGATCAAAAACAAAATTTCAGCATATCACAACAAAAATTGCCGAACTTAAATGGAGCTTCGCAGGTCACATTGTGGGAACAAAAAGACCAACGTTGAAACGCCATAATACATCAATAAACACCTTGCAAAGGTAGACCACCAAAAGAAAGACCACAGAGGAGATGGGTAGACGACATAAAATGAATACCCGGAACAAATTGGAAGTATGTTGCTTAGGATAGAGATCTAAATGGAGGATAGAAAGCTAAGAAGAATAGTTCAAAAACTTTCTACCTTTAAGAATAAAGCTCCACTTTATCAATGTTATATTCCCAAAGACGAACTGAATTTAACATCACCAACTGAATTTAACAACACCACTGGATAACGTTTGTTTTCATTACAGAAACCTAACTATCTTTTTAGTAGTTGCCCAGAATCTACGTGTAACATAAAAGTGTTTAAACAACTTATATCTAGTTATAGCAATTGCTATTATTTCAAACAAAAATAACGCCGGTAACGTACCTCTAGAAATACATTAAATTCTTTGACGTCACTATCAAAAACACTTCACAAATTCACAAATTTGTAAAATAAGTTCACAAATTACACATAAAAACCATGTTTTTAAACAGGTTTTCACGAATACCTCCAAAAATTTGGATTTTATCAGAAAAACTTTAATGGAAATTTAAACTTATTGAACTAAGAGATTTTTTTTTATTATTACCGTAAATTTAATATTAATAAAGTTATGGCTATTCGAAAGTAGACTTTTATACATCGAATACAAAAATCCAAAAATATGATGTTAAATAATCGGAAAACAGTAAGTTCTTCAGGTAAAACTTATAGAAAGTGTTTAAAGATATTAAAAAAAACTTTTGTTACAAAAATACAACTGTATTTTGTCCTTCCAATAGGCATTTATTCAGTAATGCTCTTATTGCCTCTTCTAATGCAGTACCTCCCAATTTTAGCATCTCTGAAGTAATTTTATCTTCTCCTGGTATTTTCCCATTTTTCATTTGTTTTAGGGCGGCTCTAATTTCTGATGTTATTATTTCAGGAAAGTCCTCTGAGCCCACATTTAAGATATGTTTTGTTGGTATACCGGGGTTCGGAATAGTAGAAGTATACAGCTTCTCATAAAATTTTCGGATTTCTCTAACGATCTCTTCCTTATGCGAGCACAATGTTCCACGGTCGTCTTTTATCTTTATGATTTTATTCCTGCCAGTGGATTTACATGTTTTTAGTACTTTCATGTTCTTATTGTTTTCTATGGTTTCAAGAATCTGGTTTGTTCTATAAGCTCTGAGGTCTTTTCGAATATTTTTCTTAACGCTTCTGTTGAGCGCTTTATAGTCCGGGTTATCTCTGTTCGTTCTTCTTCTTTTCTCTATCTGTTCTAGAGTTTCGGGTTTTAGTTTAGCTTCCTTTTGTTTTCTTATTCTGCAACAAAGTTTCTTAGTGACTGTTTGTATGTCTTTAGTTATTTTCTCAGCTAGTTCATCTATATTCTTGTGCTCAAAGGTATTTGCTACTAGTTTCCGTGCTAATTCCTCTTGGTATTTCTCTTTATTACTGGCTAGGATGTCTGCCGTCGGTAAAGAGTTTGTTGTTAATAGTTTTCGTCTTTCTCTCTTTACGTTAATCCGTATATTAGCACGAACTAGTCTATGGACTTAATGATATTTCTATTTAAATACACAATGTTCAATGTGTACCAACCACGAACACATGGCAGAGAACTAAAATTGTCTGTGTCCATATATGGTACTCGTGGCAGTTGAAGTGTTAATATGATTACTAGTAAGAGGAATTTGCATAACAATTAAGGTAAGTTATAACTAAATTAAAGTCCACTTATATTTTTTATGGCGGAGAAAGTAACAAACCCACCCTCGCCAGAACCACCTAGTTTGAAACTATTCGTTGTTATTTTTTTATTTACTTCATTTATATACAAACATTACATTCTGGAAGTCTAAACATCCAGTAAAAAATCGTTCTTAAAGTTTTTGAAATGCAAAGTCTATTTTCCAAATGTTTTTATCTTAAAAGTTTGTAACTTTGTATCGTCCTTCAATTTAGAATAAATATTGCCTATTTATCACAAACCCTTTTATTATACATAATCACAACTAAAACATTACCTTCTACATAATGAAAGAGGATCTCCAGAATGACCTCTGAGGCACGAACACACAGGTCGGCCTCCTACTACTTGGCATTGTGCATTTTGTCCGCAGGTACTGGCAGTGCAGGTTGGTGAAGAGTAGGAACTAACTAAAATTAATTACTGTTAATTATTTTGGGATACGGTATACAAAAATCAGTTGATAAAGGATTTTAAAAACATCGTGAAACATGTCAACTTTCCTTTTTCCTCGTAGAGGGAATCCGGATGAAGCTGTTTCAACAACATTTTCTCAACAATACAAATCAATCATTTCCATATCTTCCCAAATGTCAAATACTTTTTAAAATCTTAAGATGCTAAGTAGAGATACCAATTATTTGAAACATCTGTCAGTTCTAGATTCAGCTTCGTGACAATGAAAACAATTAGCAATGTCGGAAGAAAATTAAATCACTTCTTAAATTTTTAATTTAATTTCAAACTATTAGGTAAATTAAAGTGAACAAATTCGCTCGATCGACTATTCAAAGAGAATATATTAGAAAATATTAATTGGTGAAAAAAAATTGAACTGTTTTAATTGATTATTTTTTTGCAAAAAAATCGTTTTATATTTTAATACTTAGTTCATTATTTTTTTTATTATTTGCTATATTAGAAATAGCCTGTATACTTTAAAAGTGGATTGAAATAGTAGTATTAAGAATATGAAAACTGCTTTTGGTTTGAATCTGATGGAAGATGAAGATATACAGTCTTTGACTAAGTTGTTATAAACATTAGAAATTCTACAGTCTGAATGAATGATCCGAATCTGATTTTCGGATACACATCAGATAGTAGAAAGACGACTTAAAAATATCTCACTTCTTTATTGTCATTTCTCATTTATGCATAAATTTGCAACATGACTCATTAAAGATATTATTTGGTGATCTTCACATTTTAATATTTTGTTTTCGTGTTTAAAAGTTGTTGCTATAGTTTTGATTTTATGTATTATTCGAAAGAATAGATTTGTGATAACATCTTCACTGAGGTGTTTAAAGTCCTCTGATATTGTTAGTTCTACGCTGGGTATTATATTGCTCTTATTTATTTAATATCATTATTTCTTTCATGTTTAAATAAGGTGACGGAGTTTGAGTATTTAGAAGTAACCCTAACAAGTAAAGGGAAGAAAGCCAAGAAATTGAGCGGATTTCGAGAGAAAGGAAGACGGTCGAAGCTCAGCACAAACTACTAGGCCCAAAAAACATCTCCAGAAAAGCAAAATTGAGACTATACCAAACAGTGATCCAACACACGACCTTGTACGGAAGCGAAACATGGGTTATGATCAACAATCAAGAAAATATGCTAAACATCTAGGAACTGAGTGTTTTAAGATAGATATTCGGGGAAGTAAAAGACTATTAAGACGTTTGGAGGAGATGAACAAATGCAGATATCGGAGAAAATAATGCTACAGAGAAAAAAGGCGAGGTAGCGATGATCATGGGTGATTTCAACGCCAAAATTGGTTGTAGTACTAAAGGTGGCAACACAGGAGCATACGGTCTCGTTACCAGAAACAATAAGGGAGACAGATTTGCACAATTCTGCGTAGAGAATAACCTGTTAATAGCCAACACCTTCTTCAGACATCATCCTAGAAGGCAATATACTTAGAAATTACCTGCAGACAGAGAAGTTCGAATCGATAGGAATCAAATTGACTTGATTTTGCTCGATTACATGATTGAAATCTATTAAAACATACCCTGGAGCTGACATTCATAGTGATCGAAATCCAGTTATAATAGATGTTAGACTAAAAAGATTTTTGAAAGTTAAAAGAGAAGAAGTGACACAAAAAATAGACATCTCACAACGAAAGAACACTGAAAGGAAAAAATAAATAAGTATTGAGGTAAATATATAAATTAAGGTAAATGTATAAATAAAAACGAAAGAGAACTTGGTAAAGTATTACGATAGTAACATTGATTGCTCTAAAAAGCAAAATAACAAAGATACAAGAAGAATACATCAAGTTCACGAAAAACAACACTAAACAAGAATAGATAACACAAGAAATCATGAACCTCATGAACGTAAGACGTAAACATAAAACAAATCCAATAAAATACAAATCAATCAATAAAATCTTTAGAAAAATGTCTTTCTTCTTCTTAACATGCCATACACCAAAGTGCGTAGGCGACTATCTCATTACTAGAATTCTGTTCACCTGTATTGTGTATTCCTGTCCATTCTTTAATATTCCTTAACCAGGATAATTGTTTGCGGCCGGCTCCTCTCCTACCTTCGATCTTCCCTTGTAGGATTAACTGTGGTATTTCATATTTTGCTCCTCTCAATATGTGCCCAAGGTAACCAATCTTGCGTTTTTTAATTAATTCAAAGAGTTCTCTTTCCACGCCGGCTCTATTAAGGACGTCATCGTTTCGAACTCTATCCACCCAAGGTATGCGCATCATTCTTCTCAATGACCACATTTCAAATGCTTCAAGTTTGTTGATAGATGTTTTTTTCAAAGTCCACGTTTCCATGCCATAAAGCAAGATGGACCATATGTAGCACTTGACCATTCTGTAGCGTATTTCGAAATTTAGGTGTTGATTACATAGGAGCGGTCTGAATTTCACAAAAGCTTGTCTTGCCATTTGTATTCGGGTTTTTATCTCGTGTTGTGGATCCGATTGGTCATTGATTGTGGTGCCAAGGTATTTAAAAGTTTTCACGCGATTTATACGATTGTCACCTATGCATATTATCGGGTTTTCTGGAGGGTTTCTGCTAATGACCATATATTTCGTTTTCAAAATGTTGATTTTGAGGCCATATTTTTACCTATGCTATTCACCCTATCAAGTAATAACTGCTGATCTTCCAAATTATCAGTTATAATCACTGTGTCGTCCGCATAGCGTAGGTTGCTAATTGGTATGCCGTTCACCTTAATGCCTAATTCCGTATCTTCTAATGCTTCCGCAAATATATTTTCAACATATAAATTAAAAAGCATCGGAGAGAGTATGCAGCCTTGGCGGACACCTTTCCGGATTTCAAATTCATCCGTATATTGGTCTTGATCAATCCTCACCTTTGCCATTTGGTTCCAGTATAGATTCTGAATAATTCTGATCTCCTTCTGGTCAATGTTGGCCCTATGTAGTAGTTCCATCATGATATCATGTTTAACATTGTCAAATGCCTTCTCGTAGTCGATGAAGGTGAGGTAGACATCTTTTCGTTGATCTAAGCAGTTTTGTATTAAGGTGTTCAAACATAAAATTGCCTCTCTTGTTCCTAGTCCTCCCTTAAAACCGAATTGTGTTGACCCGCTAAGTTCTTCTAGTATCTTGTACATTCTTGAGTGTAATATCCTAAGGAAGAGTTTCAACAAGTGACTCATTAAACTGATTAAGCGGTGTTCATTGCATTTTGTGGCATTAGCTGTTTTTGGGATCATCACAAAGGATGACTGCAGCCATTCTCGCGGAATGTAACCAGTATCATAAATTCTATTGAACAGCCTTACCAAGATTTCGATATTCTCCTCTAGTATTTATTGCTTCTATATTAATTTCATCTGGACCTGTTGCTTTATGCATCTCTGTGGTTCTAACTGCATATTCTATTTCACTTCGCATTATTCATGGCCCTGATAAGTTTTCGGAAGGAAGTTTGCGCGTTGGTTGTGTTGGTCTTTCGTCATTAAAAAGGCTTTCTGCGTATTCTTTCCACGCCATTGCTATCTCCTCTTCTGACTCTATGTATTCGTTTCTGTCGTTGCGTATTCTTGTTTTGTGGTGGCTTTTGTGTATATTCGATATTTCTTTGATCTTCTTATGTAGTCCAAAACTATCTCCTTTTTCCTGCAATTGTTCTATTTCGTTGCACCTTTCCAGCATCCAACGTTCTTTTGCTTTCTTAATTTTCTGACGGATTTATTTGTGTATCTGTTTGTATTTGTCTTGATTACATTGTTGTTTATGTTGCCTTCGCTTTTCCATTAGATCCATAATTTCGTCCGTCATCCATTCGTTATGCTTTCTCTTTCTGATCTGTGTTTTAACTTCCCTGTTTACTGCCAGAATCGTTCCTTTAATATCATTGACCATCTCTAAAAAATGTCCAGAGAAGCTAAAAAAACTGAATGGAAATAAAACCTAATAGGTACAGAAGACTATCTGGAGAGATGAAAATAATACATTTATACACTTTTTATCGTCGATAGACCTTGTACTGCACCATCCACAGATGATCCAATAAATGAAAAAGGTTCAGAAATGAACAAAGAAGAATTTAATTATGCAGTTAAAGCTTCGAAAAGCCAAAAAGAGACCGGTCCAGACAATATCAATGTCGAAGGACTTAAATTAATTACAGACAACGAAAGTAAAAGCCTAGACTTAATAACAGCAGTATTCAATAAGATATATGATATATGGCAAAATATCACCGGACTGGCTAAAATCAATATTACCAAAAAAAAATTCTTTATAATGCAACCACTATTGAATATTCAGCTTAATGTCTCATGTCCTTAAAATTTTTCTCAAAATTATCCATAGACGAATTTACAAGAAGTTTAATTTTCAGATGAGTGATACTCAATTCGGATTTCAAAACGGATTGGGAACACGAGAAGCTCTTGCTTCTCGTGTTCAGACAAGACTTGCAAATTATCTCAGAACTATATTAGCACCAAACAGTAAATATTAAAATAGACCACACATATTAAAATATACAAATCTGACGAAGAGTGCGACAGGATTGCATCTTATACGGTTATTATTTAATCTGTATTCAGAGAAGCATTAGATAAGGTCCATGGTATAATCAAGATTAACGGAATCAGATGTTGCGTTTTCTTTGTTTTGCTGTATGGTGTGAAAGTTGGACAGTATACTCTTAAATAGAAAAAAGAATAGATGCATTTGAGATGCCTATATATAGACGGCTGCTGAGAATTCCATGGATACAAAAAGTACAGAGCAAAAGATCAGCAGGGAGACGTTGGAACTCGTGGCCTAAAGGTCTGAGCAGATGGTTTGACTATTCATCTGTAGAAATCTGTTTTTAGCAGTTTAAAAAGCTACAATTGCCATTTAGTTTGCCAACCTTCGAACGGAGA